CCCCCCCCCCCCCCCCCCTCTATTGCTAGTCTGTTTCCAAAATGAGCAGTCTCTGAGCATCAGGGCATTTCAGGGCAAGATCCTTAGTGTAAGTGCAACCTGGAGTCGGGAAAATGAGGTGGTTCATTTGTTTTTTCACTTGTCACCACTTATTATAATTAGTCAGTGCGTCAGGTTAGTCTTGGTGGTGAAATGAAGTGTAATATACTGTTAACCCAAGGAATCTGTATAACTCGGTGACATCATAGGGGACCAGCCATTCCTTGACTGCGCTCACCTTTGCTAGAGTGGTTGCCATGCCAATGATGTTCACCACAGAGCCCAGAAACAATGTTTTACAGTGTAGCAAACTACAGTCCCTGGAGTTGAGGTGGATGCTTGCTTGGTGGATAGTGTCAAGGACTTCCTGATGGTTGAGCAAAGTCCCCACTTAATTCATGCACCAGCAGGTCATCAAGGTCTGCCATGCAGCAGTTCTGAATAGTGGTGATCACCACACTCCCCCCGAAGAAGTAGGAGGATGTTGCAAAGTCCAAAAAGCATCACCCAGAACATCCAAAGGCCATGGGAATTGGTGAAGGCAGTTTCGGGCTTTTACTCTGCGGCCGGCACCACCTACCAAAATCTGCTATGGAGAACTGAACCAGCAGTCAAACCTGGGGTGACCAAGCTAGATATAGTGCAGGCTCTCTCCCTCTCTGCACCACCAACTGGCCAGCTGATCCTTCATACTGTCCACTGTTGCTTGCTGCCCAAAGTATCACTCCAGCACTATTGTAAGGGCTGAGTATCCCGCTGCTCTGCTGGGTCAGATCACAGAGAGTCAAATCTGCTATATTTCAGATGCTTGAGAGTAATATTCTGAGGGCCCTCGTGGAGCTGCACATAGACATAGATGGTCAACCTTCTGCGTATGTGACAGGAAGCGGTGCCATCACATTCAACAGTGATGTGTTGTACCACAGCGCAGTGGACTGACTTGTCACTACTGACTACTGACTTCAGTTCCCACAAAATGGGTGTGACCCATATTGGCCTGCCAATCCAGGCAGTCCTGGTGCAACTCCAACTTTCCTGGGTAGCAGAGGGACTGGAGATGGTGCATCTCAGAACCTGTGCAAGCTAGTCCCATTGGGATATTCCAGGGATGCTCAAAAGCATGCATCCATTCTTGAGTTAGTCAGCTCAGGGAAGTAGCGGAGGATTCATAATTTCTCCAGTGCTTTATACCCCAGATCTTACAAGGTTGGTCTTCCTACAGCTGCCTGCGGAGCTCATCCACTTCTACAGCCAATCTACAATCCTTCTTTTGACACTTCTGTAGAGGGTTGCAGGTCTATATCAAGATCCTCAAAGACATAGACAGCTTTTTTTTTTTTACTTGATTCCCTCACACAGTGAACAACAGGAAAGATCACCAGCGACTGCATGGTGATGGTCACCAACAAACACAACATGAAAGGTAATCAAATACTGTAATGTTACGTCACACATAACAGCCAACAAAAAATGAAGAAAAACAAAAACTCCCCTACACAGAACATTACATCATGTTAACTTCATATCTCAACAGCACAAAATTCAATAATCATTTTAGGTTAGAAAGTACATGTACTGAAGACGTAGATAAAAAGGTAAGTTTACCGTTGGGACTTGCAACGATCAGAGCAAATAAATGTGTGTTTAGGATTACTGCATGAGTTACTGCCATGGCCTTGCACTGTATAAGAACTGGAATTTCTGTAACTGAAAAAGAGAATATTGTGTTTGTTATGCTGTGGTCTGTCATTGAAATTTTGAAGAACCTCTTAGATACAGGTTTTGAATTACCTTTTTGTTGTGACATATAACAATTTTTTAATAAAAAAAACTGACACCTTCAGACAAGTAGGGCAACTTGGTAGCTCAGTGGTTGAGGATTTAACTTTCTACCTCCAAGGTTAGTTGGGTGAATTTCATCCACTTTTTGTATGTTTGAAGTTTGTTTGCTTTTCCCATGTTGGGCAAGTTTGCTCCCAGTACTTGCATTTCCTCCTGCAGTTTACAGACATGCAGGTGGATGAACCAATGCTTCTAAGTTGCTTATAGTGTGTGATAGTGTTTTTGTGTGTGTCCGCCTTGTGCTGGATTATCATCCTGTCTATGTTATGCCCCTTACTATGTCCAGTGTTGCCTGGGATAAGCTCCAAGTCCCCCAATTGACCCTGACAAGGTTACGTGGTTGCAAGATGGATGGAATATCACTAAGGGAGTCATTTATGTAAATTTAAAGACACTGATTAGCTTCTTGCTGTGTTGTTCCCAGCTGGAATCTGGAGTTCCCTTGCCGAGTCCGCAGGAGCTGATGGGGAAGATCCTCATCAAGAACAAGAAGTCGCACAAGCCCTCTGATGCTAGCGCAAAGAAGAAGCTGGCGGAGCAGGCCTCCAACGCATGCAGTGACAGCTCTGGTGTTTTTGAGCCCTCGTCTCCAAGCGCGGGTGGGGATCTCCTCTGCATTGTGATGCAAACATCGAATATTGACTGCAGAAATAAAATGTTTAAATACAAACTTCTGTGGGTTTGGAAGAAGTTATGCGCAACTCTTTTAGTAGTACTGGAAGGAAGTATGTGTAGTATTAGTAGGAGTAGCAGAAACCCTAAATAGTAGTATACTAGTAATTGCAGTGATTGTACAAATGGTAGAAACAGTGTAGAGCAGTGGAAGCTCTTACATTGGTAGTTAATAATTATAAAATATTGTACAGTGCACAGTTGCTCAGTGGGTAGCACTTTGGCCACACAGCTCCAGGGATAGGGTCAAGGTTATGGTTAGAAAGGTTTTGGCATATTCATCCATAAAAAGGTGCTTTTATGACAGATCTTAGACCCGGTGTAACAGGGAACAACAGTTTATCTCGATTTCATAGCATATGTGATACTTTCCAACAGATTGTTGTGTTACCATATGTCCCCAAATTAGCATTAGCCAGCTGAAGCTAGGGTTAGGGCTAGAAAGGTTGTACTGTAGCTTTTACAGACATCTTAAGGTGTTTATAATGTTGGTTTTGTGCTGCTGTATCACGGGAAACCGCAATTTAACTGGGTTTGATGACATTTCTCATAGTTTCCAGGAGCTTGTTGTGTAACCCCAAGTCCCAAAATGAGGGTTATCCAAACAACAGCTATGGGTTGGGCTAGAAAGGTTATAGCTTTATCAGGCATCCAAAGGTGTTTTACTAATAGTTCTGGGCCCCGTATACAGGGAAACTACAATTTAGCTGGGTTTGGTAACATTTTACTTTCTAGTGGCCTGTTGTGTCACCCTAAGTCACCAAATTAAGGTTAACCAAGACAAGCTAGGGTTAGAGTTAGAAGTGTTATGGGTTTTCCGCATATGCGTGACTATGATAGTTCTAGGGCCCTGTATCCAGGAAAACCACAATTTAGCTTGTGTTGATAATGTTTTTCATACCTCATTTCCCTATTGTGTAATACTGAAGTCCATCGCACATCAAGTACCCATTTTTTCCATCTGAAATTGTGGCACATTTAAAAACAAAAATGACGTCCCGTTGTGTCAATCGTGTTTACACGTTGACACTAGAACTTTCGCTCGTTATTAAATTTTTCCGGAGCAGATTCCATTTTTTGACTCTGTTAAAAGCTGTTGACCATGATCTTGTATGTATGTTGCACCATTTTGAGGCTGGGCTATGATTATCTACTGATCACCTAGAGCGCACTTTTCTGATGGCACTATTTGGATAGCCTATTAAACTCCTGTGTGTGTGTGTGTGTGTGTACCTACCTTAGACATACTGCCAGCCACTAACTGGATCGAGGATATTGCTGGTCTTTTTAATGTGGTTGCAGTATTATTAGTGCTTTCACACCAAAGTTCTGCAACGTGGTCCCTGGTTTCAAGTTCCTGGGCTCTCGACCTGGGACTTTTGAAGTACAACAGGAACTGGAACTTTTATGCTAAATAAACATGGGAGATGCAAAAAACTCATACATACTTCAATACTACACCAACACCCCAAAACAATGAAGGATGAATAAATTATGTTGTTAGTCATTTGTTAGTTATGGTGGGTGATTGTGATCAAAATGGGACACAGCCTTTTATTTGTATTTTATTCATATGACCAAAGACATGTTTATATTTCATTATTAAATCTGGCCAGCTGCTTGATCTTTTGGTTTCACAGAATAAAAAAACAATGTGGTGTATTCTGCACTTCCAAGTAACTTCCAAATTAGGGGCGGTGCTTGTGATTAACCAATCAGCAAGCTACTGCTGTAAGCGCCTCCCTAGTAGTTCGTGTTTGAACGAGAAGTACCTTAGTCTGGAGTAGGTACTAAAAGAGAGAGTTCCAGAACTGCCTCCAAGGAACAATAGTTGGGCTGAGTTCCTGCAGTGTAAACATGTCAAAAGTTCCTGGTACTGGAAAAAAGCTCTGGATCCTGAGAAAAATTCTTGTGGTGTGAAAGCACCTCAGTTTGGACCGCTGACATTCAGAAATATACCTTAAAATGATTGGGATAATTCCGTCGTTTTCATATCAGCAGGTGAAATTCTCCCTGTTCTTGATGGCTTCCCAGGATTGGATGGACCCAGTATTTTCTCTTTTTTTTCTGCTCAGAAGTGAAAGGGTCACAAAATCATCCTCACTGCTTGATGACTTTATTTTGCTTCATATTGCGAATTTCTGCAATTTTTGAATAATAAAACGTATTGGATCCAGTGTACAAGGTTTCTGCATATAACGATTTTTATCAGATGACAGATAAAAAAAACGCATATAAAAACTGGACTTGGTGTGCAAAGGCCTTTAGTCCCCAAATTATAGTTAGGTGAGTGGGTGATTGTAAATTGCCCTTTATGTGTGACTGTACGTGCCCTGTGATAGATCAGTGATGGAAAGGGACAGATAGTATCAGTAGCAGTAGTTTCTGTAGCAGTAATTTCTCTATATAAAAGTACAGTATATGTGGAGCAGAATGGAATGTACTCTGTCAAGGAATTTGGAGTTTTTTTGGAGCATAAAAAAAAATCATAAGCAGTCCTGTTTTTCCATTTCATGGTTTCTGTTCAGCTTTGTAAAATTCAGTGGTTTTAGTTGAAGTTTATTGTCATATTATTATATTATGACTGAAGAATATCCTCTTTAGATTCCATATTAGTAGACATTATCTTTGGAAGTAGTATGTTATGTTATAATAACTCTTTAATTATCAAAGTACAAAGTACATATGACAATAAACAGTATAATGTGATGAGAAAATCACAGGAAATCATACAATAATAAATGGAAGCTAAAGGAAAGAATAGTAAACTTAAGGGAACCTTTTTCTTTTAATTCTTTTATCTTGAGGTATCGAGGTATAATCATGTATGTATGTTATTTAAAATAGTTTTTACATTGATGTCATTTTGAGACAACAAATGGTACTGTGGTTGCACAGAGAATTGTTTTATAGTACGTGAACAGCTAAAAATTAAATTTCAAATGTAATTCTGCATCTATCATTATTACAATCATCATTTGCCATCTGAGATTTCAGGTGCTTCTCAGACATCATTGAACATTATACCACATTGCCATCTAGTGGTGGAATCTTCCGTTCGTGCACCACAATGTGCTTTCATTAACTTAAATTACAAAAGTAACGTGTTGTCGTACTGTTACTTTTTGCATTCACTGTACAAAATATGTATCCAAAGTGAAGGAATATACAACGATTCCTTTGTTTCTACAGTCAAACAGGTGATATTGTATACCCCCCCCCCCCCCACAAATAGAGCCATTTCATAAATTATGAATGAGATCAGTCTCTCAAGAGAATAAGGAGATGGACTTTATTGAGCTGAATAGATAAGATGCAGTGGCTCAGATGTCGCGTGGCAGATATCACAGGAGGATAACATTTTAAAAACTTAATTAAAAGAATATTATGACTGAAGAATATCCTCTTTAGATTCCATATTAGTAGACATTATCTTTGGAAGTAGTATGTTATGTTATAATAACTCTTTAATTGTCAAACAAGTAAATGCAATTCTGTGTGTTTTAATAATTAAATTCAAAGCTTAGAAAGACATTGTCTGATTTTTTTTTAGTAGTTATAAAGTCTGAAAAATAATATTTATATTTTGGCTTTTCATTCCAGGTGACGTAGAGGCAGAAAGTGATGAGGATGATGATGATGATGAAGACTGTAAGAAATCAATGGATGAGGTATGGAATATTTATAAGATATATAAAAAATAGACAACAACATTAGCTGATTGTTCAAAATTTGGGTTTTTATTCGCGCAATTGTTAACAATATGTTTGTCATGACATTAACTAGGTGTAATAAATTTGCTACTGCTGTAATGGGTCATTTAGCTGAGATGCTTTACTGGCTGATTGATTTTTGCTCTGTGAAACCAACAATCAACCTAAATGTTTGTCTGTGACATGCAGGGAACGGCGGGAAGGGAGGCCGTGGCCACAGAGGAAATGTCCACCTTGGTGAATTACATCCAGCCCACCAAGTTTCACTCCTTTGAGGTTTCCAAAAGTGAGCCACACACACATCCAAACATCTCCAAACACTAGCCTCACTTACTTTTGGTCTTTTATGGAAGAACTAATATTGCACTGTTGCATATACATTTTTTCTTTGCAGAAAGTAACCGTAGTTACCAAATGTCTTCGTTTGTGGAAACGAAAGCCCTAGAACAGCTCACAAAGACCCCAGTGGAGTTTGTTGAGTATCCTTCAGTATGGAGTTTGACTTCATTTCACTTTAGTTCAGTAACTATTAAAAAAGTCAAAGCGTTCTCGCACAATACTTATTTCATAATAACAGTAATATAGTGTTTTACTGTGATATTTAATCATCGTGCACAGTAAAGGCCCTTTGCTTTTCTGTGTCTTTTTTATTGTTCTCTTGCATCAGTATTTTCACAATGTCCAGCGTTTTACCACTGATCAGTGTTTTTGATTGTTCATTAAAATCTCTTTGTTTCAGGTTATAACTATAAATGAGTCCAAAAATGCCAATCCTTTGATCATTGCTGCTTGCAAAGAAAGGCGGGATATTTTGTGTAATTTTCTGCTGGATGAATTATCCTGTTAATTTAGGTTTCAAAACTGTTCACTTGCATGCACTATAAGTACAATGGAAAAGACACAATTTTGACTCACACTTAAACACATAAAGGGGCGTTAGAATAAAGGCGTCAAGCATAGTGCATTCATACTCTGCCTTAATTGCTGATTGGAATTCAATCGCATGTGCTCTTTTTCCCCAAAATCACATGCAACAATATACTTTTTTTTATTATTTTGATGTGAAAGACTGGCATTTATTAGCTGTAATTAAACATAAATTTGAAGAGTGTTTGTGACAGAAATCAGCACACATATATCATTGCAACTGAAGAAACTGCAGCACAGTCCTTTTGTTCTTTGATATATTTTTAAATCTTTTTCAAGAGTATTGCTGTCAACACTAATCATTCTATTAATAATGATAAACGTGTCCCACATTCTCCTTGACTTGAATTCAGATATAACAAACTCCAGCTTAGCCGACTCTATCCTAAGGGCACACGTGTGGATTCTTCCAACTACATGCCTCAAGTATTCTGGAACGCAGGCTGTCAGTTAGTGGCTCTGAACTTCCAGACAATAGGTAAGACAGTACTACATGTCTTTCTAGGGGTGCTCTGTTGCCGTCATCTTGAAAATAGATTTGGGGTTGACAGTTGTCGCAGTACAGGATGCGCTTCGAGAAGGTTAAAATGAATTGCCAGTTCTGTGGTAGCAGATGGTGTAGTGGGAAGCCAATGAGGTCACAAATTGAAAATAAAATGCTTGAGAGAACAGTGTGGGTTTCAAATAAACTTCCTTGGGGTGTACAGGCTGCTTCTGGCAGCAGGGTTGGACAATGCTGTACCCATCGTTCTTACATATCCCAATGAGCAGGACTGACTGAGAGATCTCCTCTTCATTAAGCATGGCCTTATGTCCCTCTGCAGGGGCATAGCTAGATATTCTGCCCCCCCCTGACAAAAACATCACACACCCCCTTGCCTCCAGAACCACTCCCCTGAGCATTCGGATAAATCCAATCATTAGCGGGGAAGTAGCTGGTTAAATTTGTTAAACATTCAAACTCAGATGTTTGACGTTCATGATACAGGTGGTGTGTTACTTGGTTTAAATAGTTAAATCTTACATTATATAATTTTACATATTCAAGAGGCGCTGTAAAGCGCTGGGCCCCCTGAATCTGCCAGGGTATCCATACCCCTGCTGTGACCCTTCAACGTCTATTAAAGGAAAGTGCTGAAAGATTTAGAGCCAAAGATACTGAAATGTTCATTGTGATGTCGCTCTTCTGCTGACTTCCTGTCTTTGGCGTGCAGACCTCCCCATGCAGCTAAACCTGGGCATGTACGAGTTTAACGGAAAGAGTGGCTACCGGCTAAAGCCAGAGTTTATGAGGCGGCACGACAAGCACTTTGACCCCTTCACCGAGACCACCGTGGATGGAATTGTAGCAAACACCTTGTCAGTCAAGGTGAATCAGAATATCTTCACACTCAGGAAGTTCTCAGGCTATAATATATCAGAGTATTGTTCATTCAAAACCTATTTTTTATTTTGTGATGTTGATTATCATTATTTAGAAAATTTAACATGCATATATATCATTGCACTGATGTGTCATAGGGGCGGCATGGTGGTGCAGTGGTTAGCGCTGTTGCCTCGCACCTCTGGGACCTGGGTTCGAGTCTCCGCCTGGGTCACATGTGCGTGGAGTTTGCATGTTCTCCCCGTGTCATCGTGGGGTTTCCTCCGGGTACTCCGGTTTCCCCCCACAGTCCAAAGACATGCTGAGGCTAATTGGCGTTGCTACATTGCCCTTAGGTGTGCATGTGTGGGTGGCTGGTGTGTGAGTGTGCCCTGCGATGGGCTGGCCCCCCATCCTGGGTTGTTCCCTGCCTCGTGCCCGTTGCTTCCGGGATAGGCTCCGGACCCCCCGCGACCCAGTAGGGTAAGTGGGTTGGACAATGGATGGATGGATGGATGGATGATGTGTCATACTGCCAGGGCTCAGGGTTTGAAGCATGGAGTTTGCATGTTCTCCTTACTGTACCCTGTACTTGTGGAAGGTGGATGGATGGATTACATACTGCAATCTGTATATTTAAAATATGTTTGAGGACTTTAATGAATAGATATTTCAGAATACACATTTATTTTGTTTATTTTGACACAAACGGCAACTGCTATTATTACAAATATCCTGTCATATCATTTTAACAGTTAAAGTCTTCTGTATATCCACAGATTATATCTGGGCAGTTTTTGACTGATAAGAAAGTCGGCACCTATGCGGAAATCGACATGTTTGGTCTGCCGGTGGACACTAGGAGAAAAGCGTTCAAAACCAAGACCTCGCAAGGGAACGCAATCAACCCCGTGTGGGACGAAGAGCCTATAGTGTTTAAGAAAGTGAGACTGCTTTATATTGTTCGCCATTTTCTCTAAAGAATACGGTAATGGAATAATGCTGAATGTCATGCATACATGTGAGCTACATGTGACATTCTGTAGGTTGTCCTGCCCACTTTGGCCTCTCTGAGGATAGCGGTGTTTGAGGAAGGTGGAAAGTTCATTGGCCATCGCATCATTCCTGTGTCTGCAATCCGACCAGGTAGCAAACCATATGGTTTTTGAGATACAATTATTACCTGCACAGATATTGCTGCACTACTAGACTGTATCTCTCTATTTCAGGTTATCGCTACATTGGCCTCAGGAATGAGAAGAACCAGAATTTGGTGCTGCCGGCTGTATTTGTCTACATCGAAGTCAAGGATTATGTACCAGACACATTTGCCGGTAAGTTTCGGTATCCGAACATTCTCTGTTTGATTTCGCGATTGTGTTCATCCACCTTCCAAACACTGCAGGCAGTTCTACCTGTTAAATGTCCAGAGTATCATTACTATTGTAGAATTACCTTAAATTGTCATTTGAACGTTTTTCTGTGCTCAGGCACTTTAAAAAATTCTTAATTTTCATTGTCCTGGTTGCCGTGACTCAGGGCTGAGCCCTGTGCTGATATTGGTGTCTTTATCTAGATGTCATCGAGGCATTGTCAAACCCAATCAGATATGTGAATTTAATGGAGCAGAGAGCCAAACAGCTGGCAGCATTGACTTTAGAGGAAGAGGAGGAGGATGTCAGCAAGGAGGTTTGATTACTTGAACTTAAATGTAATGCTGAAGGTATTTTGATTTATCTATTTTGTGTGTACCTTTATTTTATTTACTAGTGCTCTTTAGCATTTTTGTAATCGTATTAATTGTTCATGGGGTCAAAGCTGGGTGCTGTCAACACAGATTAGTTTGTTTCTGTGTGGTGTTTATTTTTAGGCTGAGCCAGGGGCTGACCAGCCCCCCGAGCCAAAAAATGACCCCAAGCCAGTCACCTCAGAGAACGGTGTCACCCATGTAGCTAATGTCACCCCCAAAGCCGTATCGCATGTGACTCAGCCGGCGCCACCGACAGGTACACCCCAACTATTGTTAAAAACTAACTATGAGTATCAGATTGAAAATGATGTGGTCTCTTTCCCTAAGAAATCAAACCAGGATTGTGTAAATATGAACTTCATGTGTTTTAGTGTCAGCTAAGCCTGCAGTGAAAACTGAAGACCTCATACAGAGTGTCCTCACAGGTAAGAGGATCTTCTGATACGGGTCAGATAACAGCATGGGTAAACGTAACTTTGTCTCTACAGGTGCAATTTTACTATTAGCTTGCCTTTAAAAAATAAGCAAGCAAGAGGTTTAAAATCAAACTGGGCTTAATCGAATTTTGATGCAATATATGAAATTTACATAAATATATGTGTGTTTGTATTCCTAGTTACATTCAGCATCAACATAAGTTTTTGTCATAAAACAAAAATATAATAAATTTTGAAACTGTTTGTCAAAGTTATGCATAATCCTGCTTTGCAAAAGGATGAGCAAGAAAACCGCGAACATCATGGAACCTATTGCTGTATTGAAATTTAGCGTTCTGATGACAGACTATTAAGAAGAAGTCAACCGCAAAACAGGACGACAGTAGTTTCCTTATTATTATGATTATTATTATTGTTGTTGTTGTTGTTATCATTATTCTTATTATGTCCATTAATAATGCCATTATTATCATTAATTATAATAACGATAATAATAATTAATTCATTCATTAACTTTTATTTTACCAGGCAAAGCATTAACAACAGTTTCTTATTTACAATGACAATCAATCATCATCATAATATGCTTAACATTTCAGAAGTGGAGCCCAAGACTCTGGAGGAGCTTAAGCAACAAAAAACGTATATTAGAGAGCAAAGAAAACACTATAAGGAGATGAAGGAGCTGGTGAAGAGGCATCATAAGAAGACCAGCGAGATGATCAAAGACCACACTGCTAAATACAACGAGTTCCAGAACGACTACTCCCGAAGACGGGGCGCCCTCCAAAAATCTGCAAAAAAAGATGGTAAGAAAAGGTAGGTAGGTTTCTTCACAAAGTGTTGTTTTTCTTTTGTTTATCTGTGGGGGGGACGGTGGTGGCACAGTGTGCTTGTGATCAGAAGGTTTCCGGTTCACGTCTCCTGATCTGTAGAGTGATGTCATCATTGTGCCCTTGAGCAAGGCCCTTATTAACCATTTAACTGCTCCAGAGACTAGCTGACCCTGCTTTTTACACCACTTTCAATAAAAGTGTTAAACAAATTAAGGTTAATATATGACTGGAATGTCACTGAAGCTTGTGAGATGAATCTATTTTCCTACGGTATTGCTTTTTCTAAATGGCATTGATTGGTTAGATTTGTGTGGCTGTGTGACTTTCACAGTTTTGTCAGAGGGGGTTTATGACACTTAAGCTTTCTTTGCATATATGATTTTGTTTGGCACACTCACTACATTTTTATATCCAGATTAAGTTTCATTCATATTTATGTGGTAACAACCCCAAGCAAAGTAATCAGAAGTACTGTTTTGCAGTATTGCAAGCTCTGGAACTATAGTTTTAGCCTCTGTGATGGCTGTCACTAATAGTGCCCCCCCCCCACACGGCGTTATCTCTCTGTGCTGCAGGTGCACGTCGCCGGGATCTGACCAGGAGCCGTCCTCCATCGAGCGCGAGCTGTCAGCGCTGGATCAGGAGAACGGCGAGACGTTGACCCAGCTGAAAGAGCAGCAGCAGCAGCAGCTGCTGAGTCTCCGACAGGAGCAGTACTACAGCGAAAAGTACCAGAAGCGGGAACACATTAAGCAGGTAGCCATTACTCCAGAAACCATCTTCGCGTGCCGGAATGCAAAATGTATAAGAGTAAACGTCGAGGGCAGCCTGATTTTTAGGTTAACACTCAGAAATCATTTAAGTCTTCTGCTTGATTTGACATCTTTTTCTGGTCCCTACATATAATTTATTATGTTTTACAGCTCATGGAGAAACTAACCTTAGTGACAGAGGAGTGTCAAAGTAATCAACTAAAGAAGCTGAAAGAGATGTGTGACAAGTAAGTGAGGGTTATGTTTTTGTTTTGACGCTGCTAAAAGAGGGAGACTCCTATGATTTTAACGTCACAAATGCAATTTAATTATATACAGTATACACACCTGAAAACTACTTATTGATGTATATTATTGCTATAATTACATTTTAATTTTTAAAGGGAGAAAAAAGATTTGAAAAAGAGAATGGACAAAAAAAGACAGGAGAAGCTGAATGAAGCCAAATCAAAAGATAAACACCTGACTGAGGAGTAAGTCAGATGCTCAGTGAGAAGATCTGAAGGGTTTGACTTTTTCCAGAAATCCTTCCATCCATCCATCTGTTTTCTGTAACTGCTTGACCTGTTTTGGAAGCTACAGGCACAAGGCAGGGCATCACACACCAATATACTGTAGAAGTGGATTTATATCAGTTTGCAGCTATATCTGATGCAAATATAATTAAATACCGGATCAAAATGGCTGCCCTTCGCAGAGCCATGCTGTGTTTAGAGCCTAATTGCTTTCACATGCTTTCACTTTTGCAGTGATGACTGAAGCTTTAGTCTGCTAAAGAAAATTCATTCTAACGTTATCATGGATGGCTAGAAGAATGTCGCTTTGGTTCCCAAATCTGTCATATTCCAGACATTTGTTCAGTTTCACCACCAGCTCACTTAATTAGCTATGTGTGCTCAGGTATATTTTCCCAATTAAGCAGTTTGGTTTCTGTCTTTAACACTCTTTTATGTGTCTTTAACTCTCTTTTATGTGTTTGGCAGAGAAAAACTGGAGATTAATAGATCCTACGTTAATGAGGTGGTACAGCACATCAAACGGGTAAGTGGATAAACAACGAGTAAGTAAGTAATTACGCAAAATTCGAATTCAAAGAAGGCAGGAGCCAGGATATAGCATCTGGATGCTAGATATATAAGGATTGAATTGAGTGTGAGAGTTGCATTACAGTTGAGATGATGCAGAGTGCAACAGTGTAAATAAAATAGGGAAAAAGATCAGTAAAACTTGGCATGAAAGTGTAGACTGAGCACAAAGTAGGGGGCAGAGTAAAGTGCACAAAAAAATTGCTGGAAAAGGCAAAGTGCATGACACAAATCACAGGACAGAGAAGTATTGGGCGATGGATACTGGGCTATTCAAGTACTATGAACAAAGTACAGTGGTGAACAGACACAAGAGTACTTTACTTAACTGGTTTGGATATTGCATGGAACTATATTGTTATACAGTAACTTTGGAGAGCACTACAGTGCATGGTGCATGAACAGTAACTTGTCATCTATAACCTTTACCAGTGGACTATTGCTGGTGTCTATTAAACATCGTCATAGATGTCTGCCATTTGCAGGCCAATGAGTCACTGCAGGGCTTTCTGATCAGCAGCTTAGCTGGTAACCTGTGCTGTAGCCGTAGTGCAGGATACTCTCAGCAGAAATATACCAGCGGGACAGGTGGGCTCTCTTTAAACTCCTTAGGGAATACTAGGTCCATTGCACCCTTTTGACCAGGGAGGAGGATCTGATAGACCATGTTCAGTCCTTGGTGATGAGAACCCAATTACACTGGAATACAGTTACAAACTTACGCGTTCAGGCCCAGAATGTGGAGTTTGCAGACAACCTTGTTTGAAATTTTGGCATTGTTCATACTAGCATATTGAAGCATGCTTAATAGGAGGACACTAGCATATTAGCATATTGAAGCATGCGAAACAGGAGGATACTAGCATATTGAAGCATGCTTAATAGAAGGACACTAGCATCGAAAAGAAAGACAAGGAGCAGAAGACATGACGGAGACCTGAGAATCAGCAGAACAAAATAATAACTAACATTCAAATGTACTATTTAATTAAAATTTGCAAAGCAATATTTGCCATGCAAGAAAAACAGCAGAAAAGTGATTTACAGTATTTTTGATTTGGAGATTAAGAAAGTTAGAAAAATAATGGAAAATGAATATCTAGAGTATCTATGGGTATCTAGATCCTGTTTTAGGGCATATATCTAGGTCGCTGTTGAACTTATGGCTCGGGGCTATATGACTGTGAGCAGAAAACAGAATGAAAGGCATAGGAATCTATAAATAATTAACTTAAAGACACTTTTGGGAAGCCAGATATTGAAGTTTAGCCTAAATTCTAGGTTTAATGAATATATATATGAGATGTACTATTACATTGTACATAGAACACATTTTAATGATCTGATTGGTTATATTCTGCAGATGAACAACATATATACCTACAATGTAAGAAAGAACACGTGGAATTAATTGTAACAGGAAGGCTTTTTGTATTGAAAAGCCATACCAATTTAAGGCACAAAATGTATATCTGATTAATAGCCATTTGGGGCCTACTGCCTTTATTTCTAACTTATAGTTTAGCAGTTCTATAGTCTCCATACATATATATATATATATATAGATTTGGGAGACCAGATGTATTACTTGGTTTGGGAGATTATGTGTCAGCAGAATAGTGACTGTATTTAATACTACGGTTGTGAATAATCCCTGTGTGGCTGAGCAGGAAGAAAGCCAGGCTATTTCAAACTCCATACCTGGACTATGATGATTGATCATTTACTCGAACAAACTGATTTCAGTCAGTCAGATAAGACCTAAAACGAGAATGCACCCGTCCGCTCGGAACAACAAGCTTGTTTGTTGTGTTATGGACACTAAAGTGATCTATGGTTTCAAAAGGGTCACTTAAGCCTAGAAGCACGAGAACAGAGACGTTGCCGCAGTCAGAGGAGTGAAGAGGGCCATTCATTACTCTGACAAGTTCTGTTTCACGGCTCTGGACTGTCGGGACCCAGGCTGAATCATAGACATTGCTGAGGTTTAAAAACAAACAACTGCTGTGCACTTGGATTTTAGATAAATACAGACAATCGGGTCTGTACCTGGGGCTTGATTAAAACTTCTTTAAGTGATAATAATGACACAATAAGGAACACATGGACTTTGGAAAAAAAAAGCTAATTAGCTTGGTGCATCAAGAGCTTGTGTAGAAGCAGGGGTCATCACTAAAGATGTTGAGCCCATGAAAACATATCATCTGGGCCCCCCAGTTCAGAGCAATCCAGTTATTTTCTTAATTTTCTAGGGCCCTGTCACCCCCGAGCCCCTTGGAATCACCCTAACCCCCGCCCCTCACCACCACAACCACGGTGCCCTTGTGTAGAAGTAACATAGCTCTACAAAGTTTTCTTGGGTGTCCTTCTAGGCAAGGTAAAATAAATATTGGGTAATGAGCATTATGATCATTAGAAAACCTGCTCTAACGCCTACTACAGTCATTAGAAGTGGGAGATGCTTTCAGTGTTTATAAGGCTTCTTTTGCTAACTGAGTGTTGCAGAAAATTCTTTGGCTTCATTGCTCATTTACAAGTGGCGTTGTTCTCCGAATGGAGGTCTGTATATCTGAAAGAAATTGCACAGTGGTACAATTAAATGCGTTTCGCACCCAAAATAACATGTTTCTTTAGAACAGTCTATTACATGTTATATATAAATCTCTAAAGTCAGAAATCGTAACTTTTGAATGACAAAAATATATATCTATTCTGGTTTAGAAGCATTGTAGGTGATTTTTTAGGTGTGTTTTACATTTATTGGCATAACGTGTGTCTTTCTTCTTTATGGTATGGCAGAACAAGTAGGATAGTATATTCTGAATCAGATTTATTGGTCAAGCATGTTAAGTCACATAAGGAATTTAGCACAAGCCAATGGTGTCTCTCAGGTTACACAATGTACAAACAATGAACATATAATTTACAGACAATGCATAATATACAAGCCATGTACAGATTAAATACAAGACACGTGATTCACATAAAGTGCCAACAGCAATATAAATATAATATTATGACTATAATGTTTTTAATTTCCTCCTTAGTTAGAAGATGCTCAGAGCAAAAGACAGGAACGACTTCTGGAGAAGTACAAGGACATTCAGCAACAAATCGTGGATGAAAAACCAAAGGTAGGTCTGAGAAAGACGAGGTTTCTGTGAAATAGTGGAAGGGTATTTGAATTAGGCTTGTGCCAGTGTTTCGTTTTGCAGCAATATTTATCAAAGTTCATTCAACTTGCTATCCCGCTACAGGAGCCAAGCCCTCATATTCAACAATGAATCTTATAAAGTCCAGTATTAAGCTGACATATCTGACAGTGCAAATGTGGTATTACTGCTTCTGGGCTAATGCATAAAAGTCCTTTTTTTTGACCCAGATGACAAACTACACCGTATGTGGTGCATTTTGTGTGCAAGCACCAGAGAGCCACACAAGTCTTTTAAAGGCAGCCTAAAGTTCAGTGGCACATGTGGATTTAATATTAACTTGTAATTGTTTGGCAATGTGTCATTGTATTTACCATCCATCTGCTTTCCATTTTTCATATTCACATGTGCATAGAAAACATAAATTATATTTTACTGTGTTGCTCTTTTTAAAATACTGCCATACAATACGTCTTCAAGAACTATTTTATACTAGGTATTATAGGTTGTGTTTTGCTATGCCTAATAATATTCAGCAATATTATGTTGGTTAATTTTACAGGCGCTGTGAATATTTGATGTCGGCACAAGCCTAATTTAAATTAAAAAAGCAAAAAAAAAAAAGTTGTTGGGGTGATTTTAGAAAGAGTGCTAACACTTCAGATTACGTCCATTCACGGTATAAAAGAAGCTATATAAATCTGAGCATCAAAGCTATTTAGCATTTTCATGGCTCTTTTGACATTTGGCCAGAGGCAATATTATTTTACAGTTGGTGCTTTTCAACAGCTTATTATTATTATTTCATATATGGTGCATGTACCATTCAAAATTTACAAAGAGCACAGTTTGTATTATTGTTATTATTGTTATTATCATTATAGGACGGGTCTTCATCTGATGAGGAAGGTAAGCTGTGCTGCATCCAAGCTTGGCTTGATCATTTCATCAATATTAGAGTGATGACGATTAAACTCTGCCTTTGATTAGTGAACGATGAAGACTGGTTGTGCATACCCTGTTCCAAAATAACCCTAACAGACTTGCAGAGTCGAAGCTTCTGTCTGAAATCTGTTGTGTTCCCAAGGTCATGTTGTGTCACTGTCTGCATTGATGTATTTGTTGTAAATGTACATGGCTACAAGGGTTCCGTGTGACCTGCAGTAGTCAAAATTTCCTCACAATGTCTTCCTCACAATGCCGTCAACATTACTAAAATCCATCCCACCTTAAATTACAATTTCCTTCTTTCTGTGTACAGTAGACATTCTTACTGTACCATTGAGAACATTTGTATTGACAAATAATTTTATCATGCATTGTATATGCTTTTTTGTTTGAAATAAAATTTGTGGGGAAAAAAAAACTGATTGAATCTTCTAGGGTGACAGCATGCAGAATGTTTGGAAAGTCATCTGTTAACCTTTTGCAAGTTCCATGTCTGTTATCCACATGGAATCTGAGATGTACTGAAACTTCATTTATAGGTCAGCTAAGCTCTCAATGTTATGCTGCCCTAAATTTTGTAGTATTAGTGCATTTTTAAAAGCCAATAGGCTTTACAAGATGCAAAACCTTCTGTATGTCATTGAGTCTTGATTCCATACTAAGATCTGGATTGAACAGCATTTGCAATAAGAGGTATGTCAATTGGTTATTGTTATAAATTCTCTGACAATGCTAACTATAAATATTTTGCCTTTGTTATGGTCTACTAAGTCTCAATTTAGAAAGTGTAGACCGTGTAGCATCTCAGCATCCAAAGTCACATGGATTCTGCCTTTGGGTGTGTTTTTGCAGTCAGTTTGTGCATTTGTCACATGTCAGAATGTCAGGTAATGTAATTGCTGGTTTGTTCCATTAATACCTTTCGCTGTCACGTTGATGCTTCCATTGCACTTTGTCTTCTGCAGAACTCACAAAGACAAGTACAGAAATCTCTGGTGAAATGTTGGGTGCCTTGGTCGCAAGCCACCTTAATGGCTCTTTCACAGAAATGATAATTATTCTGCAGACCACTGATTCTCACTGGTCTCGATATTGATTTTCCATAAGCACCTACATACAGTATACAGTACTGTAGCTGTGGCGTACTGGGAAAAAAAAAGTATAGCATATAAAAAGTCAATAGTCATTTGGCATTGAAGTATAAGAAAGGCAACCTTTTAATTCTAGAAATATTTTACTGAATGAAAAATGTACACCCAACCCTTAATATTCATTACATGCAAAATATTTGTCTACGCAACAGTTGGCCGATATTTGCTTTAGAAGAACTAGTATACTCTTTTGAGAGCATTGATCAATTTAAGCTCTCTGAATTGTAGGCCTTGTTGTCAACATGGATGTTCCTCTTGCCCGTCAAACTTTAACAGAATGCTAACTTCTGTGCACAGTATTTTTACAATGTTAACAGACGGAGACGCTGGATCGCCCTGCTTTTCAAGTACAGAAGTCCAAAATATCACATAACAATACTGATCAATGGTTCTAAGTGGTATTAATGTTGAGTATTCAGTATAATGCTATATTGATTTATAGTGATTATGCATTTGTAAATAACAAAGAAATTCAGCATGAGAGTTGTTTGTGTAGATTATTTAAAGATATACATAGCTGACTGGCTAAGTTAAGGTTTGCCCGTGTATACTAATACATTTAATATCTTCTGTGTTCTTTCTCAGTTCAGCTTAATGCAATTAATCACCACCTCAGTGTTTACTAATCACTGATTGTGCGTGAATGCATATGCATAAAGTATGGGGGGATGGGTTGTAACCACTCCAATAATCAAAACCAGCAAATACGACCCCCTGGACCCCTTAAATGGGTGGAGCCCATTTAGCACAAAATGGAGTACTTAACCCAAAGTTCTGCCCTTGCATGAATGCACAGGTGCCCTGCAGTGGACTGGCAACCCATCTACGGTGTAACCCCGGAGTAGCCTTATGCCCTATGCTACCTGGGATAGGCGTCAAGCCCCCTCGCACCTCTGACTAGGATGAGCAGATTTATTATTTGATTCTGCTTAAGCCTTGGCGAAAAAAGGAAATGTTAAATTCTGCAATTGGGTGTCCGTTGCACTCACAGGCATTTCACAACAAGATATATTTCGATTGAAATTCTAAAGGAGTTTTTTTTAGTTAATCAAAAGTGAATTAGGTTTCACAAAATGTCCCATATAATACACTAATGAGCTGCATAACCCTAATATAATTGTGTTGTGACCACAACCTGAAACCAAGAATTAAAAGTTTGTTTAAACTATGGCTTCATCAAGCTTCTGTATATATTTTTTACATTGTAGTGTTTTTCTTGATTCATTGTAATTTTTAAAATCACTTTTTATTATTACAGCCTGTAATGCAATCAATTGTAATTTTATTTAATTGTAATGTTACAACAGTTAAAAAATCATAGGGTAGTTTCTGGAAATAAATATTGATAAATCAGTATAGCTAGCTCTTAATTGTGAGAATTATGACTAGCTACTTAGATCTATGCCGCTGCTGCAAAGCGTTATAAGCAAAAAAATTATAATAAAATGGGCAATTTTAGATTTGCAGGAATCACTCTCATAAGCCACCCTGGTGAAGTTCACTAGAGCTGTGTTTTGTGATATTGCCCCAGAGGCCTGGTTTTCTGCAGTAGGCATGGACTGACTCTATGGGTTGTGATTGCAGCAGCAAACCGATTTGGATCAGGAGTACCAGGACAAGTTTCGTCGACTGCCTCTGGAGATTCAAGAGTTCATGCAGAACGCAACTAAAAGGAAATCGAGTGAGGACCCAGGCCACAGCCTGCTACCTCCTCCCGCAGCATCAGAACTTCAAGTGAACCACAAGACAGCCCATTCTGAGGATGTGACAGAGGAAGAGGATGGCATAAAGCCAAGCACCGTTCCACCCTAGGCAACATCCGAGTGATTCATATTTTATGATTATATATTTTTTCTGTATCTGATTTTTAATTTTCTAGAAAACCGTAGCAGTTGTGTACGCATCTGTTGGTTTCAGAGAAAAGGTGTTTACTGACTGCTTGGAGAAGTATTAGAACAGTGTCACGGAAAGGAGCTGTTATTTTTTAAATAAATGCATTATTATTAACAGTAACTAGTATAAATTAGTGTTGTCCAGTTTGTATTATTTCTTATTGTGGTGCTAGTTTTTGGGTTCATGCCTACATCACTTTTAATATTGTTATGATTGTATTTACTATTAGAGCTATAATTTTTGTGTCTGACACCATAGGAAATATTAAGAGTCACAATAGGTTGGTTGTTGAGTGGTGTTTTAGTGAAGCTATGTATACTGCTTGTGGTCATTTTTTCAAGTGCCAGGCAAAGCAAATCGACGTTCTGGTTTACCTGCCACAGATACAAACTGCTGTCATATTCTGTTTTCTGGGTGTATGCAATACAACAAACAAAAAGGCACCCGTACAGCATATTTGCACTGAGTAACAAATTTTCGCTTTCGTCTGCAAGCACGGGCGGCTTGCAGTTTTGTTTCCCTTACAGATAGTTGTATGCTGGTGATATTTATTGTAACTGATTTATAGTTTGTAATTTTTGACAAACATGATTTATATACATTGCTCTGAAATGCCAGTTCTGTATCAGACTTATTGTGATTTAATCAGTTTCAGGAATGCATGAAAAACTAATGCACACTAACTTTGTGTTAAAATATACTTACATTAAAAACATTAATTGTTGGCTGTACAGAAGTAATTATGATGTCTTTCAAAAAAATATACAAAAAAAAGTAAACATTTCGATGAATTCTTTTTTTTTCCAACTTTGCATTTTTAACTTTTTTTCATTGCTTAAGCCAGGGGGTAACTTGTTCTGCTGTTTGTTATTGCAAAGATTTATAAACCTCAGTAACATGACAGACGTGGCTACAAAAAAAAATCGCTAATCATTTCTGCTGTGTTCAGTATGTAAGTGGTCATCCAAACGCCTTACCTTTAATTGTATTTCAAGCAAAGTGAAAGGTGAGTCAGAGTGCAGTTTAAACTCGCAAAAAAAAAAAATTCTTTGTGAAATGACAATAGTGATATTTCTTTAACTGAAACAAATTACTTTAAGGCTGAAAGTTTTTTTTTTATTCCTATTATATTCTTACTGGCAATTTTCTTGTTTCTGCATAGCTATTTAGCCTTTATTTTTTCGGTTGTTATGGCTTTTTTGAGATTTAAGGGATTTGTTACAAAAGGTTCTAAGGTCCTAAGCAGTTAAACAACAACAAACATGACAAGAACAACAACAACAACAATACTAATAATAATCAGCAGCAGCTGATGCCTAAAAAGAATGAGGAGGTACGAAGAAATGCATTTTACAATATTACAATAGTGAAGAGAGAAAATGTCTGTTTTTAAATGACAATAAAAACTTCAAAGTTGTTTCAAAGTTACTTGTTTCGTAATTTAATCTCAAAAATTATTACCTCCTCCATCTCTATGGACCAGCCACCTCTAATAAAAGTGTGATGCTAATAGCTAACTAAACATAAACAAAGCATTAATTAATCTCATTAATGAAATAATCTGTCCTGGCACAAAAAGTGGATCAGTAAATTATATAGAGAATTTTGCGCAAACTTCTACAGAAGACATATACAATACAGAATTTTAAAAAGCTAATTTAAACATACAGCTCCTGTTACGAGGTTAATTCAGTTTAAAATGTGTAACTTCTTATGTACCAGAAAACTAATTGAATGACTTTTCACAAAAAAACAAAAAAAAAATTTAGTTAGGTTTATAACCAAGTAACCAAATTTGTGCTTTTTTAAAGGTTCTTAATGAAGTGAAAGTCTGGTGCCTTTCAGTGTATTTGTCGTGTGATGTGGATTGTATAAACTGCATTTATTTTATTTTTTTTGTTTAAAATGTTGTGATAACAAATTTTGTATTCTAAGATTGTGTGTGCATTTTTACAATTCTACAATTCACTACCAACTTTTACTTGAAGTTAGTTGTATTTGAATGAACATTATATTGAAATGTCAAAACTGTTTACTGATTTAAGATTAATGTATATATTGCATTGTTTTATTGCTCTGACAATAATATACAAAGTAATGATTTTAGTTGTCAAGGATTATTTTTTAAAAATTGATGAAAATTTCAACATTTAAAAAGCCCCTGTTTTGGGGAGTAAAATATTTTGGATCCATTTTGATGTGTATTGCTATTGCTTAATTTGTGGCTACTCTGCTGTGCCCATATGTGATCTAAATTATTGCTTCTAACACAGTTCCCAATTGATAAATCTTTTTTTTCCCTAAAAAAATATTCTATGCAATTTTGTGGCATGGTGACTTCCATGTGTAGTTTAATGTGCTTTCAATCCAAGTTAACGAAAATATTAAAAAAATAACATATTATATTGTCTCTTTCTTCCAATTGCATGGCATTAATTATCTATAAGCAAAAGGGGGGGGGACATATTTTAAAATATTTGGTAATTAGTAGTGATGGCTAAATGAAGCTTCATGAACCATTTGCTGTATTTTCTGTTGCCACTAGATGGTGCTTTCAGTTCAAAAAAAGGCTCAAAGCATGCCCCAAAGTAAACCATGACCACTGGGGTTGCTGGGGTCAGAAAATACAGAAAATGGTTAATGAAGTTTCATTGGGCCATCACTAGTAATCAGTTGTGCTTATTTTTTATACCATTGTGTTCCATAACAGTACAAAACAAAGACAAGACAAAAATCTGCTAGTTGTATAAATGTACAGGAATTCATTTGTTTTCACATCCCCCATCTTACTCTCCATGAGAGACAAACACGTGTACATACAGGTGACAGCAAGTTTTGGGGTGAAAGCACGTGGTCAGCCAGCATCCAGCACACTTGGAGTACTCACTCAAAAGTACTACAGTGATATGATTACTCTGCTGGCCACAGGATTTGAACCTACAACCTTCTGGAAATGGGTGCTAACCTGCTATGCTACATACTGCCCTAGTAATGGTTATGTAGTGATACCAGGCATCTAACCATGTAGTAAAATAACAAGTTTGAAACCCCCTCGAAATTTATTTGCTCCAGACCAGTCATGTAGCCAGGCGGTAAAATAACGAATTTCAACCCCCTTGGAATTGAGCCAGACCACCCTCAAAATTAATTGCTGGGCGATACTGATACACAAGAAAAATTATGACTGTTATAATTAATAACTTGACAGATATAACGACAGCCCGGGGCAGCATTATGACTCAGTGAATAGCACTGTTGTTTCAGGTTTGCAGACTTGTTTCCCACCTCAGCTCTGCGCCTGGAGTTTTCATGTGCTGACAATGTGTGGCAATACTGTACCATACCATAGCTTTATATCTCTCTGTCCAGGGGTTCGAGATAAGGGCTGGAATTCTGACAGGGACACTTGAATAAACAATGGCCACATTAGCCTCACACTGGGGGCATGGTGGCCTCCCACTGGGAGCAGAAATGGAGTGAAAAAAACTATTGCATTTTATTTCAACAGAGCTAATGCAGGTTCCCGAGAAGTCCACATGATGGTGTCACCTAAATGACATAACAGCGCGGGTAGTTTGTGACATCATAAATCAATAAGCACTCAAGTCATCAGTGAACTGCCTTTTCCACTCTCTTTCACCAAAATTTCATTTCTCAACTACAAACAAAGCATGCTTTGAAATTCTGGCCCTCCACCTCAGGGAAATAATATATATTGCAGTTAATTCGGCACGTGTCCTATTAGTCACTCTTTCCTTTATTAAAAAACATATCCGTTATACAAGGCACTGTGATTGCTGAGCTCCAATGTGAAAGGCTCTGTGAGCCTGTTACTCATGTGCCTGTGAGATTCTAATCATAATATCATTTAAGAAGTTTTAAGCACATTGGTTATGTATGATTAAGTTTCATTCAGAAGACATTCAGTCCTCTAATATATTCAGAACCTGAGTGTTGCGTAAATCAATGTTTCTCGAACCAGTCCTCAGGGCACCTTGGGAGTTGAGAGGGAGCAAAAACGTGGACTGTCTGGGGTCACTGAGGACTGGTTTGAGAAACAATGGTGTAAATTATGTTGCTGTTACCTTCTTTGTCACCTATCATGTTTTGCATGCATGTTTTTTTTTCCTATAACAATAATAAAGAGATTTTAAACCACATGCTCGTTTTTGTCGTGGGTCATAAAATCCCGAATACTGATCCCTTTTTGGGAATAGTTCTCCCTTACATACCATGGTGCAATAGTGAGGAGTTCTATTCCTATGAAGCGATTAATGTTTTAGGTAAAGTATAAGAAAAAACAGAGAAAACCCTGAAATCCCCGAATGACCAGGAAGTAAAAAAAAAATAATAAAAAACTGTACATTGGAGAAAGCAGAAGATAGGAAGAGCCAAGAAAGAAAAGATCAGAGGAAAAGCAGGTAAGGGAGGTAATTACACAAAGTTTATGTTGAGAATTGGGAGGAAGGAGGGCCAAAGTAAAGAATGTAGGAGATGATACCATGACTGGTGATGCTGGTAAGAAAGGGAAGTGAAGAGATGGCAGTGGTCCTGCAGAGTTCTGGGCTGAGAAGCACTTTGAAGTTTCTTACGATTTATGCATAATTCATGACGTTTGAGGACAGACAGTAAATGGCATGAAATAGGTTTGTTATTGAGAGACAAAAATAAAGGCGGTGAAACTGTTCAAGAAAACAGGAGTTGGCATGGGAGTAAGTGATACACCTTTGAGCACGACAAAAGACTGCACATCAGGAACAAGAATAGAAACCTTTATTGTACACAAATGATGTTTTTTTCAGGCACAAAATAACAGGGGAGATGTCATATTGTTAAAAACAGTGACAAAAGCCATGCAATTAAAAACTTAACCGGTGCTTAAATGGTGGCATGGGTCTGTTAGCAACAGGGTCATGGGTTTGGATCCCAGTTCTGTTATGTGTGTTGGGTTTGCATCCCACCCCTGCTGTGTGTGTTGGGTTTGCATCCTACCCATGTCAATTGTGTTTTGGTTTTGCATCCCACCCATGATGTGTGTTGGGTTTGCTTCCTACCCATGCTATGTATGTTGGGTTTGCATTTCACCCCTGCTCTGTGTGTTCGGTTCACATTTGAGATAGTCTAACATGCCTTGACATTTTAAAATATTTTACCTATTTACAAATCAATTGGACAATGAACAGTAAGAACTAAGGCAAATGACCTAAAATCCATGTATAAAAAGGAAGCATTAACATTCTTTTTAAAAAAACGGTTGACAATTAGATTAACAGTAGAATAACTGTTTACATCTTGTTAAATCATACATATTTACAGGATTTACTATTAATTATTTGTAGGTAAACAATTCTACCACCAGGGGGCTCTAAGTGACAGTTTCAAACTGTATTCAGCACTGTAGCCTGCGTTTTTAAGGAATGCTCCTTCTTAGTAAGCCTGTCTGATGAGCCTTCCTGTTGTCATTATAAATTTTTAAATAAAGTTTTTAAGCAATACCTAAAGAGTACTGTTGGGAATGATTGGATCATGATTTTTTCCCCCTCTTTTGTAATATGTTATGCTTCATAAACTTCCAATTTAAACTGGATTTTACAGTGCATAAACAGTGATTTTCAGGAAACTCAGTGCTGCTGTTTATCAGTTACATTTTCTACATGAATAAAAATGAGAGCAATGTTTAGTGCTTGGGCTTCTGGAGTTAAATTTTTACTCATTTACTTTTCCTAGTCTTTCGTTGCTTTTTGTTGATCTCTTCAAACCTAACTTGATCATAGATTCTTGGAAAAGTGAAGAAAATATGATTATTTAAAAACAAACCAGTTAGTGATCTTTATTAACAAGGTCCAAGCTTTTTTCAGACTTTCACCATGTCATATGTCATGTTGCCATTTTGTCCTGATGTTTTGTATTGTCACCATGATAACTGTGTGTAGGTAGAAATAAATTCTGTTGTCAGTTGATTTCTGTATGCCATTATATACGTAAACTTACTGAACAAAGTACTCAGTGTCCCTGAATCAGAACATATACCTGCATTCAATTTTTAAATTATGCTTTAAATAATTGAAATGGTAAATTAATTCATAAAATTCATTACTTATGCATTAAATGTTTTTAAGTTGTGTATATGTATGTATTAATCATCAAATTCTAGATGTACTATATGATATATCATTCCCATAATGTATGTATTTTGTCAACATTTTTGCCTTGAACAAAATATAACACAATCATTTAAATACTTATCATTAATTATACAACAAAGTACTATCAATAGTTTCTTCTATTATGGATTTATCAACATATTTTGGGTAGATAGTATAGCTGTACTGCACAGGATGTTAATTAAAAACCCAATTTACTTTTGCTGTAATCTGCAATTTAGTTCATGTTTTCATAATAGTTTTGATGTTACTATAATTTTACTGTAATGGATATAATGGCCGGTGGCCTAAAAGGTATTATAGCAGGAAATTGGTAATGGATGTAATGTTGTTCTGATCAATTAGTGCAATGGACTGGAACCTCCTATTTAAAACTGCCTTCAGTCTGTCATTTCTCAGGCCTGCTAGCAATCACACACAACAGTTGACCACAAATGTCCACAAATGCAGCTTTTAAGATCATGAGGCACAGTAGCACTGGATATTGTATATTGTAGCTGTAATATAAAAAACGTCATAATAGTTATGAACGGCTGTAAATTTGAATTCTTTAGGGTTTTTATGATGAGTATACCCAGCCGTTAGATAACAAACTCAATGGGTAGAACAGGAAGGACTGGAATCTCCCATGAGGACTGGAAAACGTAGATATTAGTATCATTTTGTATTGCGTGTTTAGTTCCCTGATTGCTGTTTCTTCACATTACGGATTCTTTTAAGCTATTGTTCATTCGCTTGTCTAGCAAGTTTGTCTTGTTTACCCCAACAAGACAGATCCAAAGCATTTCCTGTCCCCATCTTGTCAGTTTGGTTTTCTTTTCAGTCTCCTCTAAAAGGTCACTTTTAGTTTCATGTTTGCTAGTTGCTGTCTCTCCTTTTGCTACCCAGACCCTGTTCTCCTAGCCTGTCTTCCACATCGCCGAATGAAGTATCCCCTTAACTACAAACCTGTAGCTGTGACATCTGCAAAAACCGGCGGAAATCATGAGCAAAAATATAATTGCCATACTGGTAATATGTAATTTTTCTTTGGCAATATCATATACAAAACATTACATATCCAACATCCATCCATTTACCCAGGAGAGGGTCTGGGGTTATTACAGATTTAGTTTATGTTAAATGGAAACTAAAAACACATACATGTCCAAAAATATAAACTGCAATGGAGCCTTATGGGAAGTTAAAAAATATGAACTACCCTATTTTAAAGTTAGGTGCTTATATATCGATTTGCGG